GGGTCGCTGGCCGAGGGCACCTGGTGGTGGCGCTCAGCCATAGGTCCTCATCGGTCCTGCAAACTTGCAAGTCCAGTTTTCCTGCTCTTACTGAACAGAGCATCTGTCATCCAGGATCAGGACACCGGTCCACCAGCAGGAGGAGATGGTTGGATCTTTTAGAGAGCTTCCTCGCATCAAAACTCTCTCTCAACTCTCCACAGAGTGACCTGATGGACTGATTATGTATTCAAGCCCAGTATGAATATGAAACATCCCGGCAACTTTAACCCCGCCCCGCTGAGCCGAGGCAAGCACCCAATAGTAAAGCTGCGTGTGAAGCAGATTTCTGCGGACAGCTCCATCAGTGAGCTCACAGAAGCATCAGCTGGGTCTATGGTGGTGACAGGCTGCCGGACCGACTGGGTGCGTTAATAAAAAAAGAAAAAAAAAAAACAACAACAGATGTACTACAACCCTTTCATCACCAACTGAAGCCATTAATTTTTTTCTTTTTGCTGTTTACTGTCTACTCACTTTCTCTACTCCACCCTCCCTTCCCTTTTTTTCCTCCGGGGGTTGTTTCCTTACCTGGCTGGTAGTTGTTGTCACAAATCCACTGGTGCTAGGAGACAATTACCCCGAGACACAGAGGACGAAGATGCTAAGTGAAAGTTGTAACCTCCAATGAAATATACACTTCAGTTTAGCACCAGTTTTTTTTCCAGATCTATTTCGTCTTCTTCTGTCCTGTGTCACCAACTCCTCTCCACACAGTCCATCATTTTCAGTGGTGTCATATAGTATGTAACAAATCCACTATCTTTCCTCGACACATGTCCCAACACTGCCAGAGTCACCAAACCAAAAATCATGGAAGGTCTCACAACCATTCAGTTAACCCTGCATCAACAATCCAACATGATTCATATACCATCATTTCTGGCACAACTCTGATGTACTTTTCTGCCACTTATGACTACCTCATACATTAACGGTAGCTTTTTCTTCCTTGGTCTTCTCCTTCACCTTCTGAAGATCAACACAGACCACAGACTTGTTGGACATTAACTAATTATTACCTGTGCGTTGTCAGTATTTGATGTAGCCATTTTGTTTACCCTCATTTTATGGATGTTATTCCTTGTGTGGTGTCAGCGGCTGAACTATTTTCTTAGTTGTACGCTTCGCAACCTTAACCCGTTTCAATGTCTGTTTTTCTAATTAATTGTCTCTAGCATCCATATGGGCTGGCAACAGCCCTCTGGTACACAGGGTTGTCTTCATCTTTCTGCCGTTAATTGGCCTTAAAGAACATCTGCTCCTGTTTAAAGTGATGCTCGGTTTGGCCTCGCTGCCCTGGATGTTTGAGGTGCCAGTATAATGGGCGTGAGCTGAGCACACACACACTCCTTCATCTCCCTGCAGGCAGCACTGTCCTTTCTTGTGCAGACTTTATGACCTCCCCAAGTTGTAACTGCAATAAAGTGTCACCCCTGTGAAGGCAGTGGGGAGTGAAGATGAAGGTGTCGGGACCAGGATCAGGGAAAGAAGGCAAGGATCATTTATTTGTTTAATTGATCGAACATACGCCCTTGTACTAAACTCTAAAGAGACAATAAATAATAAATAAATAAATTAAGAAAACTCAACTGATCTGCATGATCTTTGTACTTCTACAGTTCAAGCCTCGCTCTTCAGCCTCACAGTGAGTTGATAGATTGTGCTCAAGTAGCAAAATGTAAGTAAATCCAGGACATTCCTCAGAGCCTCTGTTGCCAATTAGCTGCTCAGTTTCTGGACACTTCCACAGGACTCTGGAAATGTGAAAGGAGCCATAATTACTGCCAAGGAAACCCTTCTCCAGTATGTGCTGTGCTGGCCTGACTCTACTCACTGGGCGTGCTTCCCAAAGCCTGGAAAACTGGGAATTCCAGGTCAATCGTTTGTCATGGGAGATTAGCTCACCACTAGCACACAAAGCTCAGTGTTTTCTGGGAAAAATTATAGGCTTTTACGTTCTGCTCCGGGTCTGGGTCTATTCTCATTCTTTGTGTGGTTACTTGGTCATCGCACAGATATTTGACGATTTTTAGTAAAGACTGGTTCAAAGATTCAGATAAACCTCAAATTCTAAATGGGGAGTTTGATTGGCCGGTAAATTAAAATGTTTGACAGTTGACAGGGGTTCAATAAATACATGTGTTCATCAAGGAAGAAGATACTGCATTTAATTCACAGTGTTTCAAAAGTCCTAGTCAAAGACAAAACCTTAAAAAAAGGTCTATACAAACCACTAGATTCACAAACAATACTTAGATCATTTTAAAAATCTACACAGAACAAAGAGGTAGTTTCTAGAGATTTGCTTCCAGCAATAATCAATGTCCTCCAAAGCATATTCAGAAAAGCAAATCCTGCCAAATAGCATCTTCAAGACTACAACAGCCTGAAACTTATAAGTTCCATTATTTCCTGCGACTGAATCAATGTTCAGTTTTTAAACTATGTGACCAAATCAAGTTGCAAAAAAGAAACAACTAAACCACATGACCATCTGTAACTCCTTAAAATTATCCATCGAGAATAAATTCTTTAAGAATTCAAATCAATCTTATCCTGAAGGAGTTCGTGCAATTAACTATAAACAGTCCAGGAAGCAGTTTTTGTTAAATGTATGTTGTTTTGTTGATGTGTGTCAAATAGAAGAAAAGTAAAGCCCTAGACATTTTATTTATGAAAATAAAATGTATATTTTATTTTGTTTTATCTGGTGCTACATTCTGAACGTCAAGCACTGCATTTTCCCCCACAGAGAGCAAGAGCGCCCAAATAACAAAGACGTGCTGGTGGAGCTGGGCCTGCTGTCTTCAATTAGCCGAGTTTCCGTGAGGATTGTCTGGGACTGGCTGCTCAGTCTGTCAGACGGAGTCCCATCCGGCTGGGTCTCCGTGCTGCACATTCCACTGAAAGCGGAATTGTGTTCCAGCCCATTTCAGACGTAAAGCAGCGGTTTGGGGCTGTGTATTGGAAACATGTGAGAGGAGTGTCACAGAAAGACTGGTGTGTCACGGCAGCTGAGGTCCTCTCAAGGTCAGCTGGCTTCAGGTCTGGTCCTGACCGCACGCATTATATTAATATGAACGCGCTCGGTTTGTGCACATTAAACACAAACACATGTCACAGATGATGAGATGTCCATCTCAAACGGTTTGTTTTAGTACAAATACCTCTCTCTCACACACGCGGCGTTCCTGTCTGCAGTGTCAGCAGCTGGGTCGACACTAATCCACACATCAGCTGAATTAAAGCTTACTCAGTTGTACAATCAGTGTTGATCCAACCCACTGATGGCGTGTTACACAAAACCACATTCTGTAACCAAACAATAGTGGTCTGCACGGACCTACGACAACATTTGCTTGTCAACAATACTTGGGGTGAAGTTCTTCTCCCAGTTCAAAAGCTACATTATGCTCATATTATTTTTTTTCCTTCAAAATGCAGCTTTAAGACACCTGGTTTATCACTTATAGACCTCACTGTCTGACCTTTGCGTAATCTTTATATTATAAAGAAACCTGGCTGGATGTTATGACTGTATGAGTGTGTCAGATTCATTAACCTTTAGCCACGACTGGCCAAGTCGTCAGAGGTAAGATTTTTATTTTAGCATTTTTCAGTCAGCCAAAAGTCAGTATCCCAGGGAAGGACTTGTAAAATCCCAAATCTCTTTTCATTCTTTCAACGTTTCTCTCTCTCATTCTAACCATCTTCCTACCTTTAACTGCAGCCATCTGGGACATTCTAGAGTCTAAAAACAGCTCAGTTTAAGTGCAACCCCACTTTATGTCAGCGCAGATGAAAAAGCCACTGCAGGAAGTCGTGTTCCCATCCTTGTTAGTAGCCTGGATGTGTGGTTAATCACAGGGTAATGCCTTTTAATGGCTTTTATGGGTTAATTATTACCACTAACTAAGTGCATTTGGTCTCAGAACTTTTTATCTGCGGTGGGCTGAGCTCAGAACATTTTGTCCTACAGACCAGTGAGCTTCTGTCTGAGGTAATACGGCTTGAAAAACACTTCATGAAAACTTAATTTCTGAGCCTTTATCTCTGCCAGGGAATGCTGGAGTTTTAACAGATGAGTGTGTGTGTGCTTGTGTGTGAGCGACAGAAGTGTTATACCGCCATCTAGTGGTACAGTTAAACTCGAAGTGCAGTACTGTGTTAGAAGATTTATCTGCAGTTCTTTACAGTACCTATGTGGATGGGGAAGGGGGGGGGGGGGGGGGGGGGGGGGGGGGGGGGGGGGCAGGATCAACATTTGAACAAAGCTGATTAAGAGCTGCAGAGAAAACACCACCTCAGTCAAGGTAGTATTCTGACTGGAAACGACCAACGGAATCACAGCATAGAGGACAAAACAGGTGACAAAGCTGCACATATCACAATTTCTCCCTAGTCCGTAGTCAAACCTGTTTGCAGATAAACAACAACAGTGCCCTCTGAGTGCCTCTTCACATGAGCTCCAACATTTCATTCATTCTCTACAGAAATTAGCACAAAAAGGAGACGTGGACATACAGGCAAACTGAATAAAGCCAGGGACTGTAGAGAATTAAAAACCAAAACAGAAAAAGCCCAGTGCTGAGAAACAAAACCTTAGAATAGATATTAAAGATTGATTATATCTGTAAGGACAGAGCGGAGCTCTGCAGAACAGTGAGACTGTTCAGGACTGGATGGGAGTGCACACACATCACAGAACATTGACCACATGAGAGAAAACTGGTTCAGGTCTGAAGAACAGTTACTGTAAAATCTGCCTTATCGACAGGAAAGTTGTGCAGGCATCTGCAGAAACCCTGTGTGAATTATTCATACACTACAGCACGTCCTGAAACATCACCATCATCATCATCTTCATCAGCAGCAGCATCGTCACAGAACCCATAGAACACGTTCATCCACATTCAGTGGATCTCTTATCATGACAACACGTTGATCAATCAACTCACATATGGAAGCTGTGCTCTCCGGCGATGGCCCAGCCCACAGCACGGCATGAAGGGGACCAGGGCGAGGAGGAGCAAATGGCTGTCTCACAGACTCTCTGTCAGCCAGCGGCATCTGCTCAGCCTCGGTCCATGCCGCCACACTTGGCCCACGGGGGGGTGTGCACATCCAAAAGATGCAGGAGGAAGATGAGGACTGGTGTTTCCACTTCAATCCCCAATATCACCTCAGCTACTCCCAACTTAGAAACTCAGCCGGCTCTCATGTCTGCTCCTCTCTTGCTGCAGTGTTCACAAGAAAAAAATTAACCTTCAAACTCCAAATCTGACAAGATTCTCTGCAGTACTGCGATGCCGTGGCTAGGTGTACAGTTGCAGGCTGGTACCCCTTATCATCACACACACTCAGGTTCCCTCTCAGCAGGAGGAGGAGGAGGTGGTGCAGCCCCCAGTGTCCTTTATTGACTGCTCTTACTTGTTCTCAAACGGAGGGGGTGAGGGGTTGGGGGGTTTACTCCCTTCATGCTTCGTTCTTCTCTTAATTTATACAAAAATCCCAAGAACTGTGTCCAACTAACAAACACCTTCAGGAGAACTTGTTCCCAGCCCCACTATGATGATCAGACAACTCCGTCTGTCTGTTCATTATCCTGTGTTTTACAGTCATTTGCTAAATTGTATTAACCTTCAGACTGTGTTTATAATGAGGATAATGAATCCACCATAATCTACATTATGGGGGGGGAGTAATCAAAGCACATCCTGTATGTAGTTCAGCTGCAGTTCTGCAGCTAAAGCCAAAAACAAGATTTTAAAATTATTTTCAAGATTTGCTCCCACTGTGGCAGCTACATCAAGACATGAATGAATTCAAATTTGAAGTCACTATTTCTGTACTTATCCACACAAGTCCCAAAAACAAACAATCAGACAGGACGATAAAGGCAGGCGGAGAGGGGGACTTCCTGTCAACACCACACCCTGCCCCACAGGCTTTTATCACCAAATCCTTTTCCTCAAGAATCAGGATTACAGTCAGCGAGGGCATTGCTTCAGTGTGGTACTATGAAAAAAAAAAGCAGCATGAGTGGGAGACATCAAGAGACACTGTTACATAGAGATAGAGGTGAAAGAGACAGACGGAGGCGGGTGAGGCAGAGGGGAAGTAGGAGGCCTGGTGCAGGCATTTACATAAACATAACAAACAGGACAAGCAGCAGGAAGTTAATTGTGACATAATGCTGTGAGTTATGTAAATCCTTAGTCTGAATCATTCCACTCCAGGTCTTTCTTCTTTAAATATTATTACTGAGTCATGATAATGTTTCAATGTAAACAATACTGTAAGGCTACTAAACAGTATCTAAAACCTGATGGCTGATGAAGCAACACTGTTATCGTGACCATTGATGAAACTATTGATGAACAGCTTGTTGTCATTCTTCTGCTTCAAGCGCAGTTTGAATAAACAAACACTTAAAAAAACTCAAAAAATATATTTTTGCATTTAAAATAGCATTACAAGTGTTGCCAAGGAGGGTAACATGATACTTAAAATAATATGTGGTGTGTGTAGCTCCTCCCACCCCATTTTTTTAAAATCACACTTTTATTTAATTATTTATTTAACTCTAATGCATTCTTAGTTTAATGCATTTAAACTTGTACTTTTATTTAATTATTTATTTAACTCTGTAATGCATTTAAACTTGCAACATAACTACTTTAAATCCTGCTTTTATTTGTTATAGGCTTTGTTTTCTCATTCTTTGAAAGTCCTTTAGTTATTGTGTTTCTAGAGTGAAAGTGCTATATAAAGCTTGTTATTATTCAGGGTCATGGGACACAGGAGAGTTTCCCAGGATGCATTAAAGGCAACGCCTCTGTAAACAGAGTGCCAGAGAAAGAATTAACATTGACATCTTCATACACTTTTGAGTAACCAATGTCTTTCTGGTGTGCATTATGATATGAACTATTAGCTAAATGCATACTAATTTAACACTGCGAGAACCTTCTCTGATGTCACAGAAAAATGAGAAAAAATGTATTATCTGCATTTGCATCCTGTTTTCATTGATGATGTCTGAATTTACTGATACAAAGTCCCTACTGTACCAGAATTGATTATTAGTATCATCATGCTATTAATCTAATAGTTCTCTCTACATTAGATGTCAGCTGGTCTGAAGCTTCAAAATGTAAATAATTTACAAACATAAAAGTATACAGTAGGACAAATGCCCTTGATGTAGTTTTTGCAGAATGCTCCACTAGTAATGGAGAATACATGACTCCTATCATCAGTGTGTTGCCCTCCACAGACACAAATAGCTCAGTTACTTATTATAACCAACTTCTACTGAAGGAGATGACCAACTCTGGATAAACAACAATAAACCACCCTCTTGAGTCAGACGTTTACCAAACAAACATCTGCCTTTCTATAAGTTCTCAATGAACTCCAGTGTAAGACTGAACCACTTCACTCCCACGACTGAATCGTCTGGTCTGACCAAGACCTTCCAACCTTCCCAACCTCCTCTGTAGCCCCACTGGGCATTAGGCCACATCCAAAAGGAGCGCCTCTCATCCTTTCCCTCTAACTGTCTGCCCTCTGCTCTGTCTGTTTGTCAGGAGCTGTTTATACTGTGAGCAGGTTACTGGTAAAAGTCATGTTTATATTTCCTTGTACTGAAGTAAATTGATCACAGAGTAGACTTTGCCGAGCCTCACATGTTTTTGGAGACACTTACAGGAATGAAGAAACATACATTCACGTGTCTTGCTGATTCATTTTCGGTAGGATAAATAAAGCAGAATTAATCATTAAGCGTCACGACTGAGCTCACAATGCTAAATATAGGTCGCAATAAAAGTGATGTTATCCTAATCCAAATAGAAGATGCTTTATTTACATTAGAATCCAAATTGGGCAGACATTACAGGAAGGTCATCTATTTTGGGAGCACTCTATCAACAAATATCTCAAAGGAGATACAGTTCTTCGGTTTAGCATGTGAGGATCTGGACCTAAGACACTATTTTTCAGCCTTCAAACATCACACCACAGTCCACATGGCCTTGATATTTTTTCTTTAATCGTATGATGTTCACTTTACACCTTGTTTGTGTGTGCTGAGGCAAACCAAAAGAGAAGTCTTCATTTCAGAACAGGACTGTGGGGTTTTATCTCCCATTGGGAATGGGTGGATGCAAAAAACGAATTATTTTGAGTCACTCATTCAGACGTTCTGAGTGGCTTTCAGCTGTAGCAGGCAGCAGTCTAAGAGACACCGATGGACTTTGAGCTGCCTTAGCTTCACATTTCCTCTGAGCCGAGCCATAGATGAGTAGATGTGTGCCTACTCCAAAAAAGGCAGAAACATTTAGGCTGGGTCCGGCATCCTTAATTCAGCCGCTCCTGTTCCCTGCAGGTCTGCTCAACAAAGACCAGACGCATTGAGTGTATATATCTGCTTCATAACAGGCCACTGTGTCACTGGGCTCACAGCACACACACTGTAGGACACACAGCTCAGGGAAAAGGTAACCACTTAACATGCTGTACTCGGCAGTGTTTACAGAGACCTTTCACTGCAATGCACATCTCACTCCTGATGGATGATGATTACTGACGGAGCGCAATTTCACCAGTTTGCCTTCATTAACACATGCATTAGTCATTTTTACCTTAAGTATCAACAATATTATTGAAATAATCCTATGCCACAATGGTTGAACTGTCATATTTACCTGGCGAACAAGGCTGTTGGTTGTGGTGTCAGAGGAGGTGCTGCCGTCCGAACCTTTAAAACGACCCTTTCTTCGTGCTCCTCTGGCCTGAGGTAAAAAACAAACAACAACAAAACAAAACAGGGCATTGGATTGTCTTAAACAAAAACTTTTAAGTTTAAGTTAACATTTTCAGTCCACTGTACACACAAAGAAAGAAAATTAAAGTTGTTAATTAAAGAGTGAAATAGTAAAAGTAAAACTGATTTTGAGCAGCTAATAACCCAGCTACAATATCAAAACATAATGACTAGGTGACTCAAAAAGGCAAAAAAAGAGGTAACTTCTGCTTTAATATAGTGTAAGATTACAGACATTATATATCAAAAACTGTATTTTTTCATTTGAAGTGAGTTGTTATGTCCGTTTCATCAAATGACATTATGTGGGTGGTCTTTTATGCAAGCTGATATGATGACGGGCTGAAAGTGTAATTTACTCTGCTTAACTGCTCATAATAAAAGTGAAGAAGTGGAATGTCATTATTATTCTGTTCTCTGAGGAAATACACATTATTCATATAAAAGGAGATAGAGTAGGCGGGGAAAATGGTAGCAGTGAAAAGTCTGACTGAAGAAACCATATGAAATGATATTTAATCTAATTTGCAAACAAACATGACTAAGAAGTGAATTAATTTAGCATTGTATCCATTGTTCACATTATATCTGAATAGTGCATAACTACAAAGGTATTAACAATACGAATGTCAACATAACAGATTTTTTTAAATTCTTGTTTAAAAACTGTTTATCATAAAACAGCAAAGAAATTAATTAAATTGTTAATTTTATTGGTAAGTTAAAAAAATTAAACATTTTAGTTTCAAATTAGTGGCGCTTTGGCCCAGAGGCAATGTCTCTGTCATTGGTGTGGAACCCCAGGGTTCACCTCCTGGACAAGTTCGAATCCCGGTTAGGGCGGTTAATACCTTCCAGTGGACTCACCACCCGCAGGAAGGTTTGGGGGGTTGGTATGGTGCAATGTGATTTGGGTGGCGACTGCTGTCCCCGCGACCCGGTAACAGATAAGCGGATGAAAATGGATGGATGGATGGATAGTTTCAATTTAGAATTTTTAATCACATTTGCTCTGGATCCTATCTATCTATTACATATTCTAATAAAAATGTATTCGTTTACCCTTATATAATAATAATAATAACAATAAGAAAAAAAAAAAATAATCAGTTAACCTTTAAACCTCGCCTGACTTAACATTTAACTATATACAGTACGTGACTAAAATATTTTAATAAACTAACCCAAGTATTTTATAAACTAACCTACTAGTACGTTTGAAAATGGCCACCATGAAATATTAAAATATAAAAATAGTTAAATTTTGGGTAAAACGAGCTAAGTAGTTATCTATAGCTGTATGTGGAAAACTTTTGAATTTTAAAATCGACCGTTAAAACTTCCGATGACGTCATCTCCTTCGCTCCTTCACTTAATAATAATACTAATAATAATACATTTTATTTATAAGCGCCTTTCAAGTCACCCAAGGACACTGTACATAAACTAAGAAAACAATTGCAACAAGCGGTAGTGACTAAACGACTCCTATTGAGCGTGTTTCTGAAAAATGTAAACTTGGGTCATATTTAACAATATTTATTTTATGAAGTAAAATGTACTCACTTGTATCGTCTGCGCGTCCATGTGTTTGATAACAGCAGCCGTTGCTCCCGCTGTTTTGGGGCAATTAACTACCATTGCACCGACTGACAAAAATAACCGTGGAAAATGGACGCCCAGGAAAGACTCTACGTCTCAGGTAAACGAAATACGACATTTTAAAATTTGTATCTATTCAGTTGTTAATGTTAGAAAGAGGTGTAAGCCTCCGTTTACACCTGATACCGGCTGCCATTAAGTTTGTTGAGGCGGTAGAAGTGAGGAGGAGCCTCGACGCAAGAGAAAGTTTTCATTTTCATGGTGACGGTCGTCATCTTGATGGTGATCCGAGCTATGATGGCGATGTGGATTGGAATTCTGAGATATCACAGCCCTCAGCAACACAAAGTACTTCTTCCCACGCTGGCTTCGTTCAACACCTCCTCACAGCACAATATGATAATATATAAACACCATCCGAGGAAAAAAAAATTGCAAAGCTATAAAATATTGCGTTTTAACCTCAACGGGCCTCAAGTTGGCAGCCATTTTGACACATTTTGGCAGGTGTTGTACATGTTATTGCTCTGGGTTACTGTTTAACCGGTGAATAGCAATTTTTTTCAGCCTTAAGGTCCGAAATGTCAGTAGACTGATCCACATGATAATATGTACCCTGACATAACAGTGTACGTGTAAGAGGTTCAGTGGAAAAACAAAAATACAGTGTAAAAATTAAACACGAGCTTGTTAAACATGTGCTAATCTAATTTTAAAGCAGCATGCTATTTTTGTATAGTTTATGTTTAATAACTGTTAAAACAACAAAAAACGTCGTTAGTTCTAGTTATTCTAGTAAAACAAAAAACCCCAAACACCCAAAATTCTTTAGTTAGTTTTCACTTAGTAAACCAGAAAATCTGAGTAATTATGTACTACAGTCTTTAACAGAAATTTCATAGTTTTTTGTATTTTTGTTTGTTTGTTGAGGATCTAATTAACTGAAACGGAATTTAAAGTTCTAAAGCTGTCCATTCATTGTTATAGACACACAAACCTTCCCGTCTGTCCAAATAATATACTCTCGTTTACTTTATGTGGTACAGTATATGTTCTCTAATTTATGTTTGTACTGTCGCCCTCTAATGGTCTGGTGTGCAGTTGCAAATCAGAGAAAGACATCTCTTTTAATACACCTAATGTTGCAAAAGAGGGCATGGAAATGGTTTGTGTCAAATTTTAATGGCAATACAAATCCAAACTGACTGGTTAATCTTTAAATCTATATAATTAGAAAAAAATAATTGAATTGTGCATTAACTTGCTTTTTTCGGCTCTGATACAGTAGATTTCAGGTCACAGTGTAACTATACAGAACAGTTCTCTTTACCAGTAATATTGGAGTGTAGTTCCACAGGGATTTGTGGCCAAAATAACAAGTGTCGACTTGACATTCAGTACAAGTACGAATTAAAAGGAAACATTTTTACGTTTCGTGTTTTTGACATTGTGTTTGTAGTTTTTCCAATAAATATTTTTATTTTACTTTATGCAAAGCAAAAAAGGCAAGATGAAACCCCCCAAAAGAGATTGGAATTTTCAAATTAACTGCAAACATGCTGGTATGAGTGAAAATGCATTGGACTTCCTGCCTTTGTTTTTACATGAGGAAGTAACAGCAAATTTGTCAGCTTTCTAAAAAGTCCTAATGACTCTCAGCATCACTGACACTGTTCTTTGTTCACAAAGCCTTTTACTGATCACAGTTTAGCCACAAATTCTAAGTTTTTAATCCCCAGCAGCACAAATTACATTTTTTACTTAAATTGAAAATGATAAAGGACAACAATCAAATCACAACAGTCAAGTTAAATGTATGTAACATAAGATTTTAAGATTACAGTTGTGTTGGACATCCAATATTTGACATTTAATAAAACTGTTTCTTTCTCTTTGCTTTACCAACATGTTCACCACCATTATATCTTTAACTGCCTCTTGTTGGAGCCTCACTCTGGTGTGTGCAGAGCTTGTTTGCTGTGTGGGCTGGATCACTCCAGAGCCTCACTGTATCCTACAGCCAGCATTAGTCACCTGGGTTGGTGGATGAAGAAAACAAGTGCCTCAGGGTGGGTGGAAATGGCCTCTTGCTCTACAGTGGCCTTAAAATAAAAAACTGACAGAGCAGCATGTTGGGGAAATTATTTTTAAAGCAGCTTAAGTCAAACAAAGAGGTTTTAATCTTGCGTGTCACATTTTACAGTTAATATGAAGAATGATACATTGAAATTATGGTTTATCATTGTTCTAATAAGATAAGTTAAAGTAAGTTTACAAAAAATAAATCATTACTCTCTTTATATACTCTCAAGATATATATATCTTGACTAGTAACGACTGGATTAGTATGTGAAAACCCAATGCCTGAGTGGAATTATAATTTAAGTTTATGTTCAAAGAGTTCCAGAAGCAGAATACAGGTCCACCCAGTCAGGAGACCCAGGTTCTGCAGGAAGAACATGATATATGGTCTTCCTGTCTTCACTCCACTCATCTCTGGAAGCTGAGTATGGAAAAGGAAAAAATATCTCTGTAAACAAAACAATGGCTAGGATATGCAAAGTTTACTGCAAAGAAGGTCATTTAAATAGACAAAGGTATCACAACATTTTTGTTGTCAATCTATTTTTTTAATTGTTTTATCTGATTTTTCAAAAAGTCCACTGAGCCATTGAACACTATCTTACCATTTCTACTAGTGACAAGTAGAGAAAAATCCCAGCAGTGATGGCAAAGATCCATTGCTGCACCTCTGTCTCCGAGGACACAACAAGCCCAATGTACAGGCCCATAAACGCTGTTAGAGCGCTGAGAAAGTTCATGAGCACTGCGGTCTTCACTGAGAGCCCAGAGCTGAGCAGCACTGCAAAATCACCTTTGAGAAAAAACAGCAGAGGTCACTCTTGTCAAAGAAAAAAAGAAAGAAAGCCCAACCAAGTAACAGAGGGAGCTCTCACCTATCTCATGTGGAATCTCATGGCACAAGATGGCTACTGTGGTCGCCATACCAGTCTGAGCTGAAACAGAGAAGGCTGCCCCGACAACCAGGCCATCTGCAAAGTTGTGAAGGCTGTCTCCAACAGTTATCATCACGGCCAGCAGAGGAACTCCTTGTCCTGGAAAGACAAAGGGAGGCCATGTGGCCACCTGTCATTCTGATTATCCAGTCCTTACTGACTAATCACACAGTACAGTGCATCAAATCTGACTGTGTTTAATTGTCTGGCTCATTACTCAGAGGTGAAGGATTCCCCGTATCTGCATTATCAGGAAATACTTCTGTACATTCTAGCTCTTCCATCGGCCCCTGCAGGATACACATATTTATCTGTTATTCAAAGACTGAAACAGAAACAAGACAAAATTCTTTTCTGTAGTGTAAAACAGACATGTGAGAAGATGAAGCAGTGTGAACTTTAAATGTCTTCCCTACCCATGTGACTCAACATGAAACGAAAAACATAAAAACATTTTCATTGGATGTGCTCACCAGCTGGATGGTGGAGATGGACTTCCCTCTCTCTGACTGACTGTTACAGTGCAGCTCTAAAGGAACATCACTGCGGTCAGCCTTTGGACCAGAAAAGCCACATGACACTGTAACAAATTTTTTCATGTACTAAAAAAATTTAGTTTTTAAATGGCAAGACAACAACTTACATGACCATGAGAAGGAACTAAAAATGAGAAGAGACGTTTAATCAAAAAGAAGCCATAAATTCCAGCAATCACTCCTAGAATCTTCCACATGTACTCCTTTCCTTCAGCATCAGCCTCGTCGTCATCGTCACCACTGTGAGAGTGCTCATGGAGGGCTGGAATCTTCAACAAACAAAATAAAATTTTATTTTACTCCAAACAACACAGAGTACCGTAATTTCGGGACTATTGAGTGCACCTGAATAAAAGCCACCCCCACTAAATTTAAAACAAACATATATAGGCCTCACGTCTCTATAAGCCGCAGGTGTCCATGTTGTAACATGGGATATTTACACAGAAAGATTTTTTTTTTTCCGAACAGTGCCTGTAACATGGCTGGTTACACGTTAGCTCTTTCCTGCTTCGGCTCCCCAACCGTACTTGGAATGCACAGACAGACATCCACTACTACTATACCACACAGTAGCCTACCACAAAAGTCATTGATCGCTAGCAGTATGAACGTTAGGCCGTAAAAATCCATAAATTAGCTGCATCATTGTTTAAGCCGCAGGATTTAAACCGTGTGAAAACAGTAGCAGCTTATAGTCCGGAAATTATAGTATGTAGAAGGTCATGCTACAGGCGGCAGTGTGGTTGTACGTGTAGTACGAGGTAAATGAGAGCGTCTCCTGAGAGGGTGCCTACAGCCAGGCCCACAAACAGCTGCAGGATGAGTGTGTAGGTCTCCTGGCAGGAGTTGAAGAAGATCAGACAGATTCCCAACATGGAGCCCAGGGTGATGAGCAGCACAGCAGCTGTACTGTAGCCGTACTCTGCAGGGTAACACACAGGTTAAAACACAGTCTGAGCTGTCCAACAGTAATCCATCGGCCATTAAACCACACCCCCTTTTATAATTTACTTTAACCTTAGGAATAAGTATAGAACAACATTTCTGGGAAACACAATTTTTTTAAAAATTTATCTGAAATTTCTCATTTCTATACAGTGTATTCTGACTGTACTGCAAATACCGTGTACTGTTTCTGCTGTGGTAAATTGCTGCTGTTTCTTTAAATGGTAAATAAATACTGTTTTGTGCTTGGTGATGACTTAATCAATTGCACCTCGGAGTGTGATTTTCGACTTGTAATAACAACAAAACCATGTAAAACCTAATTGTAGAATGTTTTAATGTAGTATTTTTTTTTTTTACCGTGACTTGTGACACAGAGATAAAATTTTAAATGCACTGTCTTACTCTCGAGGGCAGTAGGCAGAGCTTCTCTCTTGCTGTCCACGGTAGATTTGCAGGCATTGGCCAGCAATTGCTGAATAATGGCCGGGCAGATTTGTTCAAAGTGGTGCTTTGAAATTGGCAAATGAGAATCCAGGACAAAAATATCCACTAGCTGATTGGCTGAGAAACAAACCTGATTATAAGTAAAAGAAAGTTACATTTTTTATTTTAAACCAGGTTCAAGTTTTTTTTTGTTTTTTTTTAAATCTTAATCTCACTTGTGCCCACTCTTTATCTTGTAGGTCTTCAGTTTCAAGTAAACAACCATCCACCTGAAGGTCATCTGCTTTGTGCGAACGTCCTGTTACACCTCCCTGACCGACTCCCAGCTGATGGAGCAGCTGCTCCAAGTCTATGGCAAGAACAGATCGCACACAAAGGTCAGAGCTCTCTGTTGTGTTTGTAAGAATTGACTTACGTTACTATAAAGAGCTTGGAAATGGCAGCATGTATTTTGTTTGCAAGCATTTAGTTCAACTGATAAATTCACTTCTCAAACCCAATTTAATTATATGGGCAAAATACATTTCAGAAAATAGCAATAATTCAATTTCAAAAGATAATTGAAGCTAAACCAACATGTATTAAAAGTTGGCAAAAGTTAACCAAAAGTGTCCAAAAGCTTGCAAAAGGTGACACTAAATCATCACAAAAGACAAAAAAATTTAAATCCACTGCCAACACGCTGTAAACACATTTAGCAACTAAGCAACCACCAAAGAGTGGGGGGAAAAAAGGTGATCTCACTGTTAATCTGCAGGTCGTTTGTTCGATTTAAGGACTGAAATATGTAACTGGTGAAGAAGGCGGGTGATGGCAGGTGTCTTTGTCTGAAACAGTGCCCCTGCAGGATGTGGCTGATGATGGCTGCAGCTACTGTGGGCACTGAAGACTCATCTGCACCTTTATCATCTCTTACATCTACAGCTTCAAGTAGAAGAGCAGCATCAATGCACTGTGGGAGTGGAAAAGGAGCAATTATTTTAGCTGTGTGTGGATTTAATGGAAGACGTTTCAGGATGATTATCAAAAAATAAGCTTTACTTGCAAACCCGAGGACATGTCTTGGCCAGAGGGGTCATAGTGCTGGTTGATGAGCTTCAGAATACTGTTTGTTTCATTCAGTGACAGGTGTCGGTGGTCCTCAGCTGGATGCAGGTTGGTGAGGGCCGTAATGTAGAACTGATTGTTCCGTGATGAAGAGGAAGAAGAAGATAGGGAAGGGTGAGAGGACACATTTGACGCGCAGAGATCTTGCAAGTTAATGACGTAGTAAAGTAAAACTGTGGAAATTTGCTGGTACTCCTCCTCGTTGAGATAATCGTTCCCATGATCCTCCAGCACGGAGAGAGCTACATCTGGGGTCAGGCACTGACAATGACAATGACAGGCATCAATCATTTAGAGATTACATGAATGCATAACCTACTCAGACAACATCACGTAGTGTAAAATTGGTAAACGGTTTACATATGAGGTCAGTTGCAGTGGATTTTGGAATAAGGCCTGTTTTGTCTGTGCAAAGCAGCAAGACTGCCACTCAGCAAATAATAAGCTGAGTGTTGTCATGTCAATCTACACAAAACATAAACAAGAGAGTAGTTGCGAAAGTAGCTGAAGTACCTTTATCTTTTAGAATTTTCAAGACAAAAATGTGCTCTCTAAATGAATCTTTAAAATTCAGGGTGCGTAATCCATTCCGGAACCATTTAGACATCTAAACATTCCATGCTATAGATTAATATGTCAAACTGAAGGATGTCAAAAGCCACTTTAACTCAGAGTTAGGCATTAACTCTTCAACGCGGTCAAGGACTCAAGCCTTAAGTTCCGCACATTCCACTCATAATAAACACTTTTCATGACAATAGCCAACTGAATGGATTTAATACTGCCTTTCACATCATCTGCAGATAGGATATGGAAGACGTTACCTTTTCACACATGTCTTCTGATGCCCCAGGCCGTTCTGAACAATGCACTGTGTTAAGAAGTTTGGCAATAAGCAGCCCAGTTTTATCCTTCTGGAGCTGAGAACTGTCCTCTGTCCCCAAGGATGGATCCAAGGCCTTGAGAGCTTCCTGCAAGTACCCCCATTCCTGCCCCCTTCCCTCCAACAACCTCCCCATTAGAAGTAGAGGCATTAGAAAGAGCAGTAAAGTCTGACAGCCCCTGAAGTTCATGGCCTTGCAGGAGTACCTTGAGGCAAGGTGGAGGAGGAGATGGAGAGGAAACAGGAAAAGCAAAAGGTGAAAGAGAGAGAAAGAAGTTAAACATGGCAATTAAAATATGAGAAATTTCCGCAAAACAAAACATTTAGTGAAAGCAAGTTAAAGTGCAAGGCAGAGAAAGAACAAGGAGGCAGAGCAAAGTGGATTAGAGGAAGGTAGAAGTACAAAAATAAAATCAACCTAGTCCTTGCCTCAGTGGGGAAACCATTGTGAGTGATATTATAGCTGCATCTGCTGCTGTTTGTGCACTGTGGGACTACAAGCCCCAGAAAAGCCTTTCTAGAATGAGTGACCTTCAACAACACTCCTTACGATCTCTGTTTTATCAAAGATAAAAATGCAGAGATAAACATGCCTCGCAGCAACATCCTCCCACGCTGTGCTACCCAGCATCTAAAACCAGTCACAAAAACAAGACAGCTAATCTGTTGCTGAAAGGTACTGACAGCTAAAAATACCATAGAGATAAAAAAAAAAGCCAGCCTTACTGTTTACCCCTCTGTTGTTGTAACTGGTCGTGTTTCCCCTCTGCTCTGAGATCCAGTTGTTTGTGAAGAATTCTTGGGCATGGGTGCCGCTGCTTAAATCCCTCTTACAAGAAGTGAGATCGGAGGATTAGCTCTGACAGCCTGAGAGGGCTGCAGTTGCCATGGAGAATACTGCCTCATTTTAGGAGTGAGAATGGAGGGTGGTCAATTGCTGCTAGGGTTGAAGGAACATCAGATTCCTGACCCAGCAGGACAGAGAAAACTCCGGAATTTCGACAAGCACTGTAGGGTTGTTTCAGGGTTTCTAAATTGGCATCACACAAAGTTTGGTATACACTTTAAGTTCAGAACATTACATAGAGATGAAATCACAGAAGATTCCATTTGTTCTGGCTTTGACTTGAGTTGTCACAATCTATGTGGTGTTGAATTCTCTGTGGAGGCCTAAGATGGAGCATTAGTTACAATTTCAGTGACTCTTTAACTCCTGTAAACTGATTCACTTTAATTTTACCTTTAATTTGCAAGTATGTTGATGAACACGTAGTGGCTTTTTTGTTGTGACACACTTGCTTACATGTTGCATCGTGGAACTTCACTGCTTTATTATTATATAATAATTATATTATGTATTTTTTCTTGGAGTATTTAAAATCAAGTAAAAACTCTTTTTTTATTTAGGATTATGTAATCAACTATTTACCTGTAGTTTCCTCTTTGTAAATTTCTTCCTGTGCCACTTTTAGCAAGAATTATTACGATGGTTCAATTTACACCCATTCTCTTTGAGACAGTCCACATATGTAAAAGCACAAAATATAGCAGTTGGTTTAGATTCAGCCTCCAGATAAAGTCTGCAAATCTCTGATCCGACAGTTGCCTTACAGTATGTGGATTCCCCACAGAGTCCATCTTTCTCTATGCTTCTTCATTTTGCTCAATGTTGGCAACCAGGCCCTTGGTGTTCACCAGTGCTCGAATGGGGTTGTTAAAATATAACTTGTTGTCAAATGTGATTTCTCCCAGAGCAGGGGGTACTATCTTTTTACGCAAAAGCACAAAGGCTGCAAGTCTAACTACTGCAATTCCAACAAGCACCAGAGCCACGGTGGTGCCAGTAGAGCCGTTTGAAGATTCTTTGATGATGGGTGCTGCGGAAGAAAAAATATTCTGTTTTACTTCTGAGAGATGACATATAAAGTTGGCCCAAATGCAAATGATATTTCAGATAAAGAGAAAACTCACCGACAGCTGGAGGCGTTTCTGTAGGAGTAACAACTGAAATATAGGTACAAATGTAAGTCACACTTAGAAGAATAAAAATAACCATGTAGTTGAGATTCAAATTACCTTTTGGTGTTTTGCAGATGTACGACCTATATCTGCTACAGCTATTGGTGCTCCACTGTCCACTTTCAGAGTTAATGTCCACACATGTGTCTGATTTTGGCATCCCTGCTTTCCAGTTGGTATAATCCACAACACCGTTATCAATCCACATCCACTCGCCTGCAACAAAATAAGTTCTAGAGTAAACGGTTTTCTCGCAAATTAGTTGTATTTGGAGTTTGACACAATGGACAAACGCATTATTATTGTACGTTCTGTACTTGTTAAATTAGAGGTTACCAGTATTGCAAAGCCACGCTCACCTTCATGTGTCTTGTAGAGACCAATCCAGAAGGTCTTGGCACCATCTTGCAGGAGCTCTAGGTTCTTTTGTATGAATTGACCTTCAGTTGGGTCCTGAATACTCACCAGGGTTGCACCTGGTGGCCACAGTTCCAGAACAACATTGAAGCATTTTAATGCGTCAACATAAACACTACAATTGAACAAGTTTGAAAATGTACCAAGTTTCAGGCATTCAACTGATGCATGAGCCCAGTTGTCCACCTTTGAGCTGAGGAAGGAGTAACAGTGGCCTCTAAAAGGTATCCAGGTTTTTTCCTTCTTTGACTCTGGACAGTTTCCAGAAAGCTGTGGAGGCTCAGTAGGAGCAATGTCTGTAATAGAGGCAGGACATGACATCATACTTACAGAATCTGCTGTTTCTGTCTTATGGCTAGTTGTGCAAAAGAAGCAACAGACCTTGTGACGTCTTGCAAAGGGAGTAGTAGGTGTTGGTGCATGGTGCTGTCTTCCATTTCATATCCACATCTACGTACACACAGCCATAGTTGTTTTTAGGCTCATCTGTTCCCCATTGGGTGTAAGACAGCATCCAGTTATCCACCCACTTGTAACGACCACCTGTCTGTTGGTAAGACACGTGTGTTCAGTCCAGCTCAAGATCTCCATCTGCATACTGTACTAGATCTAAATAAATGGCCAAGTCTTTTACCACGTTGCTGTTGAGACCAATCCACAGAGGTTCATTGTGCTTGAAAATCTGTAATGTGACATAGGACTGAGCAACCGGGTCTAGGATACTGGCCAGATCGGCATCATCTGCTTGGCACTGCCTCCTTGCTTCGTCCCATCTCATCTTCTGGGCCACCAGTTTGTAGGAATCATTACCGAGCTTCTGGAAAGCCTTTGGTAACACAGTGGTGGGTGGGACTACAATCTGAGGATCTTTGTGAATAGGATACATCAACTGTTAGTTATAATACACATGAATGAAATACTCCAGTCTGATAACTGGTGCTTTTCTATTAAGAGTTCCACTCACCGATGTTTCTTTTACAAATAAAAGCTTTTTGTGCATTGCAGTCCTCAACTTTCCACATTCCTTTTAATCGAGAGGAACTGCCCACCATGATGACACAGTCAAATACCTGAAAGTCAAATACCTGAAAGTCAAATACCTGAAAGTCAAATACCTGAAAGTCAAATACCTGAAAGAGTAGTGTTAAATATAAATGGCCCACATACAAAGTCACCCAACAATTTAACAATATTTGGTTATTTATATTGTTTAGATGAATGTCAATCCTATATTTTATTAAAATTCATACTCTTCTCAGTCCAAGAAATTAATTAATATTCCAGCATGAATAACAGTTTGAAATAAAAGCATAAAGTCACCTCATCTGAGAATGAGTGACGTCCATCAGGAGTAGATGAAGGGTGACCTTTGGCCCAGTTTGTGTATGAAACTCCTTTGCCATCTGTCCATGCAAAGCGCATGTCCCAGTTGACATCGTTCATGCCAATCCAAAAATCTTCATTGTATCCGATTATCTGCGTTGTCAGGAAAGCTAAATAAAATGGAAACGGTTATTGTTAAACCTTCTGTCCAGGTACAGATGTACGGTACATAAGCATTAGTCAGCTGCAGTCACACTAGCTACCTTGGTCCTTTGCACTGACGATTGAAACCAGATTTCCTCCTTGGTTGTAACAGTATGACCTGGCATCTTGCCAATTCTTATTGTCACTTGTCACAATTCTGTAACACTGTTTAGAGAAGAGGACTGAAGTGAGTGTCAGTTGATGGTAACCTTGGTGGCGTTTTAAAAACAGACAGAACATAGGAATCCTGTAGAGCAGAGACCGTCATTGAGGATGGCAAAGTGTCAACCTGGTTTTGAAGCAGTCTTACTTTTCCTTGGAAAGACAGCCACTCTGGTGCACAGCTTCCCTTGGGAGCAGTGGTGGGAGCCATTGTTGTGTTGACAAAATTGCTGTTTCTTTTGCAAATTGAAGGAAGGTCGTATCCACAGTTGATATCATTCCAGTATCCTGTGTGTGCAGAATGAACCGAGATCAAAAACCGATTATTTCACCAAAACTCTTCACCTCATTTGATCAACAAACTCACCCATATTTCTGTATATGGTGACACAGTTTTCATCATTGTTGGCAAAGTTGGGTTCATTGTTTTCCCACTTTGTGTAAGTGACAGGTGAACCATCAAGCCAGCTGCGAGGGTCAAAAATGAACACAGATCATATGCATGTAATGGCATTTCCTCTTTCACTCAATTTTTCCTCGTCTGGCAGCTGTATTTCCAAAATCTGTGGGCCAATATCTCCCCAGTCAACCTCACGTTTACACACTACTGCACCTTAACTGTGCCCCTGATTTGATCACTACTGACCCTATGCATCCTGGTCACCATACATCATAGACGTCTCACTACTTCCTTATATAATTTTACTTTCTACTTTGCCACTAATCTTCTTTGTCACTTATCACCCTTGACACTCGTCTACATCCATTCCACTCCCTTCGTCAGCTCTCTTTGTAAACTGAGTTCCCAACAGAGGTGGATTGTAGATGGTTGACCACACATTTATTCATTGACCTTATCTGTCAACCTGTGCATCGCCATAGTAAAACGAAAGGGAGACACGGTGCTGTTTTTTGTGTAGCCCCTAACCCTACCTTGAATCCATGTGTCGCCCTGACAGCACATTCTTATAGATTATAGTTTATTACCTGAATGATTTATCCAAATTTATCACCATGCCAATGTAGTATTGGTTTTTATCTTCTTTCTTTATCTGTTAAAACATAAATAAAACATATGGCATTCAGTTTTATTAAAAGCTTTCCTGATTGAATTAAGTCAGAAAGAAGTTTCAAATTATATTTTTTATTTTTTACCTGTTTCCAAAGAAACTTTCTCTCACTGTCTCCTGTAATTACTGCAAGTTCTCCAAAGTTTTTTTTGCAGTAGGCTCTGGCAGCTTCCATTGGTAGAAGGTCAGTGTTGATGAAATACTGCGTGTCGTTGTAAATGATCCAGCCGTCTTCTGTGGTGTTAAATACTGCAGGGGAAATATAAGGTACGCAGATTTTGAAGGATCAGAATACGACTTTAATGTTATAGCGAAAGTATAACAAAAGCAACATAAAGTAACCACGGAAACTTTCCATGATCAAACAGTTAATTTAATAACACGGTTTAGGGTACTTTGCATATTCAAATGCAAGGATGAAAAGTGTTAGTGTTAGGTTTGTGTGAGAAGAGATGTCATAATACCCAGAGCAATAAAACAGTTAGTGTAAGAAAACAATGGTAGACTGAAACATTGCATTATTTCTTTTCATAGTTCTTGATACTCTATTGATATTCTACAACACTGTATTAATTGTTTTAGTAACAATTTACAGTCAAATATTCATGGGGTTTTGTTTATTTTATTTTCCTTTTATTTCTTCCCTTGCACTTACAAATATAGATTCCTGTGTTCCAACATAAAAACAATCAGAGATATGATACTGTTATGTTGACTGAAACATTTAAGATGGAAAAGTTGTCGAACCTTACCTTCTGGTACCGTGACAGGCTCTGGTTTTGGAGTCACACCTGAAAATAACATTAACCACAACAGGAAAACCCATCAGTACAAGGCACTGACTTCTCCAAACTCCTTCAA